TGGTTTGTGGAGGAAGAGGTGGCTGTTGGGTAGCTCCTGGTTAAAATTAAAAGCTATATAAGCACTCAAGATGAAAGTAGAGATGAAAAGCATACGAGGAGCTTCTAAGAAAGAGGAAGTACAGCACAATGACAGAACACAGTGTACTGGTTATTAATTAGTTCAGCATTTACACCATCAACAAGCAGCCAATAGTGTAGCATATTATTTGGTTTGTGTATAGTGCCTTTTATTTATTAAAACCAATTCACAAAGTATATGTTTTTAAAAATTTTTACATTGCTTCAGAAATAACTACAATAATATAGAAAGAAGCATAAATATCAATTTTATTTGTAACTACTATGTTTTGTTCAGCTAGCCTATATTATTATTAAGCTATTTTCTTACCATACTCAATCAAACTGCTTTCTAAGTTAAGATAGGAATTTTAATAAGTATTTTGATAACTGTATTTGCTGATAATACTACTGAAATAAAAACACATTAATTTAAGTACACTTTTAAAAAGTCTAATGATGTCATACATTAAAGGAGACATATTATGCCCCTTTTTACAATATGTAATATAAGTCTCTGGTGTCCCCAGAATGTGTCTGTGAAGTTTCAGCTCAAAATACTCCACAGATCATTTATTATATCCTGAGTACTGTATATTGCTCAGCTATCACCTTACCATTCATTGCATGAATAACCCAGTCCCAGGCTACATGATCTAGGTGAGTAATGATAGTTTGAATACAAGGACTTGTACACAAGCTATTCAAAAGTGGGTTGGTAATTTTGTAACTTAATCAAGAAAGCAGAGCATCTAACAAGCTAATAAGGGTTGAGTGTCTGTAGGAGGCGCTGTTAAGTTAAGCTGGTTAAGTGCATCTACTTTTTTTTTTTTTACTTTAAACATAATGACAGTTTGCTAACCTAAATACACACACGATCTAGTCGTTTTAAGTCATATAATATTATAGATACACAGACAATTGGAGAAAGAAATGAAAGAGAGCCTTTTTGTCTGTGGGTTGTGAATGTAGATTGAATTAAATTTGAACTGAAACTAAATGAGTTAATGGAAACTTTCTCCATTTCTAGGCCTCCACAGAGGATGTGCAAAAGATCAATAACCTGAAAGAAAACAGGAAAGAGTTCAGAGTAAACAGCAAATACACAACCATACAGGACCCATTACCTGTGCTAATGTTCACTCTTATTAAACATATTTATGCTTATAAATAAGGCAAACATCATAATAATTATTGCTCAAACTCAACAAAATATGAAAATGTTCAACTTTGGCCTGCACTGTTTGTGCTGTTGACATGAATGATATCTCAAATGATACGCTTATTGTTTTAAACCATATGAGTTTAAACTTCTGATATATGGTTTTCTGAGAGAACACATCGGAAGCACACGGACAGAAAGCGGCTGTCACAGCATGTGAGTACTAAACTAAGTTCTCATTCACACACAAGTTTACGTTAAAAAACACACACGAGTTATATATACATTAAATAAATCAATAAATCCGCTGCTGTCTTGTCTCCTCTGAGGCTGGGACTCTAAATTGTGTTCTGTGCTCGTCTGTGCAGCCAAAGACAGAACAGTTAGCATGTTTTGCTCAAACTTTCACCATTGGCATTAGAACTAGTACACCGTTGTCGCTTGTGAAAACACAATAATGGCGCCGTGGGTGGAAACAGATTAAGGGGCGGTAATATTATAATGAGAGCCCTTTGCCACGTCACAAAGGGAGCGAAATCAGACGCACTCGTTTTCTCAGACGCTTGCAGAAAAAGGCTTACCAAAACAAAGTTACTGGGTTAATCTTTTTCGAGTATCCTTGGTTGGTAGATGCACCGGGGACCTGATTATAGCACTTAAAACCTGGAAAAGTCAGATTTTCATGATATGTCACCTTTAAATCTTCCTTTAAAGTCATAGAGCAGAGATTTACTAAACAGAGCAAATTAGCATGAGACCGAAATCTCAAAAAAGCGCAGATAGGAATGGAAAGTTCTGCAGTGGGTGATCTACTGACAAATTAAAGAACACAAATGCAGTCGGAGCATTTCCATAATGACAAACGCAATCTATCAAGCGACAAAAATTAGTGTATGGTCAAAAACAAACAGCCGATGATGATCAGATGCGTGTAATCTACTAACACAGACGCATACTGTGTCAAGACATACATTTTTGAGCGATAAATAAAAATACCATTAAAGTGACTACCGCAAACCTTATTAAATCACCTTACATGAAAATTAAATAATGTTCCTCACATAATGTCTTCATAAATACTATTATAAATGCATATGCAATAAGTTTAGCCACAAAAATAACTGTCCACACCTTTTCATCACTAATTTTTCACTGCATGTCTTACCATTTCACAGAAATTTTACCATCAAAAAAGGATTTGCACTGGCGCAAGCTGTTAGTAAATCTGGCCCATAATGTGTTCATGTCATGTTAAAATGATCATAATTACGAGCTGTTTGGACATGAAAGACAAAAGACACCACCAATACAAATGGACAGACATAAACAATAACTTCAGAACATCACAGATTTAGTCTGTTTGGGGAACTGGCTTGAAGGGCGGAAGCATCTTCTGAGAAAGGTCAATAATAAATCAGTAGAACTCATGGCAAAAGCTTTTTATAGATAACTTTTAGAACTTTCTAGTAAGAGAAACATGCTGTAGGCTAATTTGTTAAGTTGTTGTGTTGTATACATGCTTGATGTATTTAACCTATTACATACAACAACTGACATTTCTATGGGTGGAAAAAAGTGTGTCCTCAGGTTAACCACAAACTGGAATCACATGACCAGCAGTGTAAAAATAACTAATCACTCTGCAGGTGTTGGGTTTGGATTATGAGCGTGATCATTTACGAAGAATATTTCAAAACAAAGATTTTCAAACAATTTCAAAACAACACAATGTGATTAACTATTACTCGTAGCACAAACAAATATTTGGTAAAATATTGTTTGGTACCACATTTTTATTAGATTGAACCAAGTCTGCGATAGGTATTGAAGAAATTATAAGGCAAGAGACCAAGATGTCAGAAGACAACAAACAATCTCTGCAGAACTTCACAATGACCAGTATCTCAAACAAATCTCTTGCTTCATACCTCGGCTTGGATGTTTGTTAATTAATCCCATAATACAAAGCTCATCATAGCATATCATACGGGATTGTCTTCTCCTTGAAGGAAACATGCACTGAGGTGTCATAATGAGCTATCATAGCACTTATCTACTTTTTGCATTGAGAGTGTGCCTGTACGAAGTTCAGTAGGTTTTGGAACAGAGCCCTCATTTATTTATGGGTAGCAAATGCGATACAATCTCTCCAATGTTGACAACAACATCCATTTTAAAATATGATGTAAGAAGAAAGCCATTTTTCTTCCACAATGCTTAAAGCTGCAATATCAAAGAATCAATCAACAGGTCACATCAACACCAGAACTGCGCGAATGGGTGCCATTGTTGAGAGGTCTGGGACATTAGCCTACTTGTTGATGTGTCCCATTTGAGAATCTAGCCCAAAGGAGCACAGCTAGAAGACATTGTTTGAGCAAATTTAACTTTGGACAATGTCAGCGCAATGTAACATTAAATCTGTCACACAAACATTCCCATAGGACCCTCTGCATATGAATACAGGCTATAAAGGTTATTTTGGCAAAAACATTTTTAGGAAGGAACGTTGGAGTATTGTTAAACTAAAACAATACTAAAAAACATGTATGTGTTAGAAACTGGATGGGTGATGAAACATCAACACTGAAAGCAGAACGCTCTCAAAAAAACATCTCCATGACACCTTCATGACAACACGAAAACAGGAAGTCACACAAATGCACACATGCATCTTCAGTGTTAACCAGTATTCCAAGTTACATGAATATCTATATATGTGACCCTGGACCACAAAACCAGTCATAAGTAGCACGGGTAAATTTGTAGCAATAGCCAAAAATACATTGTATGGGTCAAAATTATTGATTTTTCTTTTATGCCAAAAATCATTCGAATATTAAGTAAAGATCATGGTCCATGAAGATATTTTGTACATTTCCTACCGTAAATATATAAAAAAATGTATTATCATTAGTAATATGCATTGCTAAGGAATTTAAAGGCGATTTTCTCAATATTTAGATTTTGTTTGTACCCTGATATTCCAGATTTTCAAATAGTTGTATCTCGGCCAAATATTGTTCTATCCTAACAAAAAAATATTATTTATTCAGCTTTCAGATGATGTATAAATCTCAATTTCAAAAAATTTACCCTTATGACTGGTTTTGTGGTCCAGGGTCACATATATAAATAAATGCTTCAAAAGCCTAAATGAATCATATTTTGACCCACCAATTAACTTTTAAAATGCTGTATTAATAAACCTCTATTTCATTTACAACTTTACCTGAATGCTTTATGTGTAACATTAACAATATTAATAACTGAACTGGGTTCAGCGAAACACACTGGAAAAAAAAGAACAAGAAGAGAGAAAAACAGCGTCTTAATGAAATAGAAAAGATTCTGTGAACAGATTAACATCCAAGAAACTCTTGGAGTTACTCAACAATACAATGACATCATAAAGCCAAATTTCATTTTATTTTATTTTTACATCAGCTTGCAACTTGTTTTTCCCCACTCCCTCCCTCTCAGTGTCAACCAGAGCAGGGGGCTGGACTGCACTGACAGAACTCTTTCAGTCACTTCAGGCTTTTTCAGCTTTAGAGTCAGCGAAAGAGAGACAAGACCTAGTCCGAGAACAAGACTGAGAAAAGGAGGCATTCAAATATAAAAGTTGCCTCACTTTTATTCTGGATGGTAAGGGAAAAGTGAGGAGTGACGGTACTACCCTTGCATAGAAACCAAAGATAGTTGGAGAAGAACCTGAAGAAAGACAACTTTTAAAGAGCCTCAAAAACTTGTATGGAATTGCTCAGGATCAAAACATAAGCCGTTTTCATTATTTATTTTTCATTTTGCAAGTCTCTTTCACTCTTTGACCATGAGGCACATGTATCTGCTGAGTCTGGGTGAGTCATGCTTCAGATTTGTTCAGGATTGAAGTTTCCACTGATGAATGTAGAGACAGATGTTTGTATGGAGCCACTGTGTGGTTTTGCTTACTGAAACGTTGCCCTGCCAACAACTGCGTAATTGTTGCAGTTTCAAAAATAGAGAAACAGTAAATGGGCATGAAAGGAAACTGCCACAGATAGGAAAATCTGATGTCACAAAATCCATTCGTCTTCTCAGAGCTCATAGTCTTAAGACATTCTGTTTAAGTGTTTGGGAAACAACCGTGAAGCAAAATGACAGAATTATCAGTAGATAATACTAAGTGATTTGGGGAAAGAGACTGCTGCGATACAAGCGACGACTGCTTTAGATGCAAACACTGTCATCATGAACCTTCAAAGACACTGCAATAGTAAAACAGTAAAATCACAATATTGTGAGTTCATGTGATATTGTGGGAAAATGACAGGTGAAACTGGGTGTTGTTTAGCTCAAAGTTAAAGAGTTAGTTCACAGGGGGAAAAAATTAAATTCTGTCATCGTTTACTCATTGTTTCAAACCTTTATGACTTCTTCTGGGGAACTCAAAAAAGTTATTTTGAAAAATGTTGGTAACAGAACCGTTTTGATAACCATTGACAAAAAAACTTTTCAAAACATCCTTTTTGATGAACTCCGAAGAAGGAGGGTTTGAAATGACACGAGGGTGAGCAAATTATGACAGATTTTTCATTTTGGGGTGAACTATCCCTTTAAAGCTTGAAGTTACATGGCTATGATTTTGACAGTGGAAAACATTGGCGGAAAACGAATCAGGACAGGAAATCCTAGGTGTTTTCATGTGTCCACAGCTGAGAGGCCCAGGCTGATGGGACGATGGCATTAAACCAAGGAAAGGCTGAAGAGGGGGAAAAAAATTCCATAAACCTTACTGTTAGACTAAAAAGTCTAAATCATAAAAATATTGTTTGCTTGGTGCTTGGTTACAAAATAATAAGCAAGACCACACCTTAGGTTATGGTTGAGTCTCCAATGTGGTTGTAAAAGCGTTACAGCACTTTTGAACAGTCTTCTAGCTGACCCAGCCTGTGGTCAGAGCATGTGACAGTGTGTTGATCTTGCTGGTTCTGTTAAAAATCGACGCGTTTCAAAAAGGCGGGGCATAGAGGAGAAACAATAATGTACAGTATGTGGAAAATAATGTGTTTTTTTAACTTTAAACCGCATAAACACATTTCATTACACCAAATACACAAAATAATGTTCTTTTTAGCAGCATCATATGACCCCTTTAAATCAGTTGCTGCACAGCACCCCACCCATAGCTCTCGAGCTGTGTACTTCCTGACTGGCCATCATTTCAATGCAACTGTCATGAACAATGAGTGGAAATAGAATTAGCTGAATATAATTCTTCTTCTTCCAACTTTGTCTTCTAAGACTGTTACTCCTAGTAAATTGAATGCCAGTTTAGCCATTATAGGCGATAAATCATTTTGGGTCATTTTAGCATGTCTTACCTATAAGATTAGGTTGGGTCAAAACATCTGACATGCATGACAGCAAAATAGTCAATGGTACTATTGTTTTTAAACAAAGTTTATATACAGTGATGTCCAATAGTCTGAAACCACTATTGAAAATGCTTCTATAAATATGATTTTTTTTTAAAGACAAACACTTTCATAACATGAATACTTTCTTCCAACTTTGTCTTCTAAGACTGTTACTCCTAGTAAATTGAATGCCAGTTTAGCCATTATAGGCGATAAATCATTTTGGGTCATTTTAGCATGTCTTACCTATAAGATTAGGTTGGGTCAAAACATCTGACATGCATGACAGCAAAATAGTCAATGGTACTATTGTTTTTAAACAAAGTTTATATACAGTGATGTCCAATAGTCTGAAACCACTATTGAAAATGCTTCTATAAATATGATTTTTTTTTTAAAGACAAACACTTTCATAACATGAATACTTGAAACCTGAAAAGTCAAATTGAAAATTAACACGAATTTTTGAATGTCTATGATTTGACTTTGATAATTCCCAAATGTATTTGCATGTTTTCAGGTTTACGTAAAAAATCCCAGATTATCAATTTGGTCTCAGAGTTATGGATCTCACTATATGTGCATCAAACTACACCAAAGACACGAAACCTGCAGTAACAGACTCTTTATTTTCTGCTTACAGGTCTTCTAGCACTGACAGAGAACATCCTGATGCAAACACCCTGTGGACGTGGATATAAGAATCAAAGAAGAAAGTGTGTAGGTATGAATAATAAAAAAGCCAATATAATAATACATGCATACATTTCTTAAACGACTTTTTTGTGTTGACAACTCTTATGTCAGGGCTTAAAAGGATTTTACTTGGGTTGTACATGCCAGCATTTATACTGGACACACACACACACACACACACACACACATAATAATAATAATAATCAAGCTCTGTTGATGTTGTATATTATTGAATAGCTGGAAATTCTACTGCAGACATGGGACACATTTATGAAACAACACTCATTAATGAATTGTAGATAAAAATCAAGAAAAAGTGCTGTGGCTATTCACACTTTTTCTGTCATTTCTATAGATGAAAATGAGTGTGAGTCTGATCCACCCTATTGTGGAAAAAATGCAATATGTTTCAATACTAATGGAAGCTACTACTGCCGCTGTCATGAAGGATTCGCTCCAACTAATAATTTCACACAATCGGATGCAATTGACTGCACAGGTAAAGAGAGCTTGATTTGATGAATCTCATATGAACTCATGTGCAGCAGTGAAAACATCTGAATCTCTGTTCCTCTCATTTCAGACATCAATGAATGTGTGAATGGCAGCGCTGATTGTGGCCCTAATGCAAAATGTATAAATTCTGAAGGAGGTTATAATTGCACATGTCAAACTGGCTACATTTCCAGCAATGGAAAAGAGATATTTAATTCAGGCCAAGGAGTTCATTGTATTGGTAAGAAACTATTTTAGCCTAGATATTTTTGGGCCATCTATTTGCTTGCAACCTAATGTGAGAGTTTTCAGTTGGCATGTTTTTGTTTATTATCTGTCCCTAAATTGCAGACAGAAATGAATGTGACGATCCCAGTTTTTGTGGAAAACATGCAACATGTCATAACACTGCTGGCAGTTTCTACTGTATCTGTGCTGCAGGATTCAGACTAAAGTCAGGAGAAACGAACTTCACTGATATATATAAATCCTGCGAGAGTAGGTCCTTTAAAACTGTTCATGTTCACATTTTGACACACTGAAGTTTATTTTTGAGAAATGTAAGATCTTTCTTTAAAATGCTGTTCTGATGTTGTTGAAGGTGTATGTGAGATTGATAAATCTATATGTGGAGGAGGAGTCTGCAAAAACAACAAAGACGGCCTTGAATGTCTGTGCAGTTCAGGATTCACTAACTATGGTCACAAACGAATGAAATGCACAGGTTAGTGTTCCCTGAACAAGTGCTTCTCAGCTAGTTTTGCTTCAAGAACCAGATCTGACATTGGACACCAAGTGGTGGCCAAACACTGAAGCAATATTGCACTTAAATAAAAATTGCAAGTAAACAAAAATGTCTTTAAAATCAAACATTTGTGAACATGAGAACCTGGTTATTTTGGTTCCTGAATATCTCTTCAATTTCATGCTTTCCCATAATTCATAGCACACAACAGTTGCCTGTGTTATTTGCAGCACTAATGCACATACTATCAGTCTGAGCAAAAATGCATTTGAAATCAATTACAAATAAAAAATGTAATTAAGGTTTTCAAAAACATTACATTTCATTCACACTTGTGTATTATTTTAAAGTATATTATTTGTGTAATATATACACTTTATAAAAGTGTGCTTAGGTGTACTTCTTTTCCCCAAGGGTATTAGTAAGAAACTTTTGGAGCCTAGACAGTTTTTGGCCATATTTTGTGTAACATGCAGTCTATGTGAGAGTTTTCAGTTGGCATGTTTTTGTTTATTGTCTGTTCCTAAATTGCAGACAGAAATGAATGTGACGATCCCAGTTTTTGTGGAAAACATGCAACATGTCATAACACTGCTGGCAGTTTCTACTGTATCTGTGCTGTAGGATTCAGACTAAAGTCAGGAGAAACTAACTTCACTGATACAAATAAACTCTGTGAGAGTAAGTCCTTTAAAACTGTTCAAATTCACATTTTGACACATTGAAGTTTCAGTTTATTTTTGAGAAATGTAAGATCTTTCTTTAAAATGCTGTTCTGATGTTGTTGAAGGTGTATGTGAGATTGATAAATCTATATGTGGAGGAGGAGTCTGCAAAAACAACAAAGACGGCCATGAATGTCTGTGCAGTTCAGGATTCACTAACTATGGTCACAAACGAATGAAATGCACAGGTCAGAGTTCTCTCTTGAAAGTTCATTTTGGTTAAATACCTCTTATATTTCATGCTTTCCCATAATTCAGAGCACACAACGGTTGCCTGTGTTTGCACCAAACAATAGCCTTATATTGTTGACTTGTTACCATGTTAGGTTACCAATTTTTTGAGTGTAGTATTATTGATTCTTGTTTAATGATTCGTTTTGCAAACAAACTCGATCTGTGCTGTTGGTCTGAATATCAGATGTGATCACTTAATCACAGCCATATACCATTTCTCGTGTGATATTGCTTAGTTATATTTGTTTTGTTTTTCAGAGTTTAAGTGCGACAGATTATTAAATGAGAGCAAAGCATCCCAGGTATTGCATCACTTTTACTAGACTACTGATACAAAATATGACAGCAATGCATAATGATCCAGAATGCTGATCTCTCTTTTTCTGTGTAGGCATCTCCAGAGCTCACAAAACTCGTCTCTTTGATGAACAACAGCTGTTTGGTACTGACTCAGAGTGAGTCTGTCAGCAAGGAGCGTTTTACACAAGTGGATGGAGAAAAACTTTTGGAGGTGATAAATCAGTCTAATTTGCAAATCAGTTTTATTGCAATAATACAATAGTTCGGCTATGGATACCCCAGTAAAAAAAAGAGCACTTAAATTTAAAGCATGTTTTAAAATATGTTTATAACTTTTATACAATAATATTTGCATTATAGACAAAAAAGTGCACTTTGTAATGTCCAATTAAAAATTTTAAAGTACATTTTACATTTTATGCCATGCTTTAAAGAAGTACACTTATTTTTGATGAGTTGACTAAAGCACGTGTACTTGATTAGAAATTTAACTGTGGTGTGTTATTCGGTATTACAGTTAATAAATTTAAAATGCACTGAACTGCATCATTACAAATGTGTATTACAAATATATTTAAATACATGACATACAAGTTTTAACAGAAATGATTTTAAGGTATTTTTTAGTTTAGCATAAATGCTCTTAAGTTTAATTAACTGCCGAGCTCAAATGAGTGCTTATACTTAAACATCATCTTGATCCACAAATCTCTCTCATTTTACCCACGCGCATATAGGCATTTCTGAGTGCTCTGGATGATCTGCTTCATGCTGGCTTACATGGTGATAATGCTAAAGTCTCAGCAATGTTTAGTATTGTGGAAATCATGCTAAAACTGATCGGATCTCAGCTGTCAAAAAGCGAGACCAGGAGATTAAGCACTGAAACTGGTAAGAAATAGGTCTAGATAAAAAAATATGACATGTCAATATCATTCATCTGCGTCACTGAATTTATTCTTACATTCGCAATGTGGCTTTTGCCTTTCAGAAGTGGTGATGTTGCGAAAGAGGGACAGTTCTCCACCTGATTTGATAATGTCCACCAGCGATACACAATTTACCTCCCACTGGGACACAGCAACAGGAAATAATCACCTTGGTATATATTCCTAATTTAATTTATTCAAATTTAAAAAATATAATAAAAAGTTACTTTTTTAATGATTTTTACTGTCTTTGTGCATCAACCAGGCTTTACGACCGCAGCTTTCCTCAGCTACAAAAGTCTGGAGAAATCACTCAACAGCTATTTCAACCATTTAGAGACATGGCAAAACCAAACTTTCAAGATCAATTCAAAAGTAGTAACTGCCACTGTTAGTAACAATGAGACAACCAATCTAAAGAAACCAGTAAATCTCACGTTTTCTCACTTGGAGGTATGGAACAATTTACTCTCAATGTACCTCATACAATGTGTTACACCAATGTGATGGATTCTTAATTTATATTTCTACATATTCATTTCCCTCCAGAAAAAGAATGAGAAGCATATCTGTGTGTTTTGGGATCATAAACTGGAAGGGGGCGCGTGGTCAACACGGGGCTGCACTACAGTGAGCTCCAGTGCCGATCAGACCGTCTGCTCCTGTTCTCACCTCAGCAGTTTTGCTGTGCTGATGGCTCTCTATGACATTGGGGTTTGTATTCTTAACTTTTGTCACCAAAACTTGAGCACATCATAAAAGTAAAACTAATAAGACAAAAATATTTTTAGGCACTGAAATTATTTAAATAATATTAGTTAAGTGTGCAAATGTCTTATAGTATGGCTATAGCCTTTTCCCACTATCCTGTGTGTTCCATTCCTTGACAGTTGAGCTAACAAAAAAACAGTGTCTGAAAGTTGCAGCTGGTGGTCAGCTTTTGTGTAAATATATGTTTTTTAACAACTTTTAAAATTAGTATTGTAGTAAATAAATATGCATAGTTATCACCAAATCTCTCTCTAATTTGTTGTAGATCATTTATGCTGCCTCAGAAGTCTGTTTGAAATTAGTTTCATCGGGTACCTTAATGCTCAAACGTTGCCTGCAAATTCGCTGACTTGCTACCTAAGCTTTCGGATGCAGCCAATGACATACTAGGATGATAGTCATACAGGATTATGGGCGAGGGTCAAAGGTCACATCCTGAATGATTGTAATGGCTTGTGCAATGCAACAGAAGATTAAATACACGCTGCAAAAGAAAGCAAATACTTATATGTGCTCACACTCTAACTGTAAGGTAAAATCTGTTAAGGAGAATCTTCATTTACTCTCTTAACTAGGATGTATACGAGCTGCGTCTGGTCACATTGGTGGGACTGCCACTGTCTCTGGTCTGCCTCCTCATCTGCATTGTCACATTTTACTTAGTGCAATCCATCCAGAGCACACGCAACACCATCCACCTCCACCTCTGCATCAGCCTCTTCATCGCCTACTTTGTGTTCCTCGTGGGCATCACCCGCACAGAGAATAAGGTAAACTGTGGCTTCACATGAGTTCATAGTTCTGGGTTGGTTTGTCTGGTTCTGAAGTGATAATAAACATCCTGAGTGTTCACCTCCTGTCCTTCAGGTGGGCTGTGCAGTCGTTGCAGGCATTCTGCATTACTTCTTCCTGGCTTCCTTCTGCTGGATGTGTCTGGAAGGAGTGCAGCTCTTCCGCATGGTGGTGCTGGTCTTCAACACAACGCTGAGACCCATCTACATGTTTGCCGCTGGTTATGGAGTTCCTGCTGTTATTGTTGCCATTTCAGCCAGAGTGAATGCAAGCGGATATGGTACTGATAACTAGTGAGTTTCAGACATTACTGATATCTTTGCAGACGCTA